AGTTTTCCATTTTCATTCAGGAGACTCCGGAAAAACGAGATAGTAGCAGCAGTATCAGTGACATAGTACAGCATCTGAGGGGGGAAATGTATTGCAAAAGGCCAGGTTAACAACAAAATTCTACATCAAAGGAGAGTAGCTTTTCAGGCAAAGAAGACAACAATGACAATAAGTATCAGTGGATGTGTCAGCCAGCAGGAACTGAGTGTGTAGAATGGTGACAGGAAGCTTCTACTCTAAATACAAACTTCAGTAACTACTAATGACGTCCACAGTGAGGACAATGTGTGTAGAGTTTAAAATACAGAAATAAGTATTTTTTTTCTGCTAAATACAAGCAATATGTGGGATTTGCAGTACGTGTCATATTCAAACATGTAAACAAAAGCCATTGGACATATTTGATGTGCAGGATGCCTCTGCATTAAATGAAGTAGGAATGACATGCATATGCCAGCGGTATGTGAACTGGGACTGGCTGACCTGGCTTTCTCAACCGGATAAAATCATCTGATCATTTGTGACCTATTGACATGCTCAGGTGATGACATCATCGTGGGACAGCTCCAAAAATCAGTCCCAGTTTCAGTGAGAATTTGTGGTGCCATTCAGTTAGGTATAACCCCTTTGGTTATAGCAACTGGAATACTTCTGCATGCATTCCACCTAGAGGTGCCCTTGATCTGAAAAAGCACCTTCAAGTGCTTTTCAACAGCACTTGTATTATTGCAACTGATTGAACTTGAAATTACTCTTAATCTATTCATACTGGTGAGCATTTAATGAAAGAATGAAGCTCTTGCTCATGCTTACAACTGCAGGGCAAATCCTCTGACTTGAAGTCACCACCTTTTGGCTACAAGCTCTCCAAATAACACTGTCCATCTGATGAATGAAGTTTCACTCCTCACCCACCTATTAACACAGCAAAGTGAACTGCAGACATGTTTACCTGAATCATATGAATGAAGTCTAATTTCTTCTCTGACTGTCTGTGTCTCCAGCGCTTCTCAAACTCAGAGGCAGTCATCTGATTCCATGTGAAGTTTACGTTTTCTAAGTTGGGAGTTCTCAACATAAGTTCTGTACAAGACGAAGTAACATTTTAGACATGGTGCAATGTATTATGGTGATTCATTCAGTTAAATACTATATTAAACAACAATATGTATTTGACTAAACTCAGAAATGCATGATATGAATGTGAGTATTTGAAGTCCTAGTAC